AGCTGGAGCATCCTCAAAAATCCACCTGACCTCTGGGCAGTGGGAAACGCGGATCTGCCCCGGCAGATTCTCCCTGTTCTTCCCTGGGATCTGCCGCTGGAGCGACTCCCCCTCTCTGCTGTTCCACCAGCAGCTCTCCCAAGCTTCCCTGGAGGTAAGGATGAGAAATTGGATCCGGTCTGGAGACTCCTTCCAGCCTTTTCCCAGGCTCTGCTGCTGCAGGTGGGGAGGCAGATTTACAAACTGCGACAAATTGGGGTAACCGAGCCCTCCCCTCTATCCCAGCAGCAGCAGCAGGGCGGGGAGAAACACCAGGGAAAGGTCCCAGGGAGACAAAAGTGTCTCTGCAATGAAAAGTGGGATCAGAACTGTCCTTTCCTCTCTCCCAAAGTGAGCTCCAGGATCCCCGTCCTGCCCACAACCCAGGGCAGGTTCCTGCAGCTGGAAACTTTCCCCTGGAAGAGAAAGATAATCAGTGCAAGGATTTCTTGTGGGAAAGGCTCTCTGCTGAGCTGTGCCCTGGGCTGGTGAAGGGGCTGAGCCATCCTGCAGCTCCCATGTGCTGATTCACTGGGGACCACTGCCAGTTTTTTTTTTTGCCAGGGAATTTTTACAGAAAGCCACAAAATTCAGTTTGTTCTTGGGTGGGATGAATCATTTCCCACCTTTTACACTGCAGCTATTGCTGCATCCTCTAAATGTAAATAAAAATTCAATAGGGGAAAATAAAGCTGGCTATGGGACGGTGCCCTGTTCCTGCATTTGTTTTTGCACAGCTCCAGCTCAGCTGCTGGTTGTCCCCATGGGCACCTTAAGTTAGAACACAGTAGTCCTGAGACAATTAATGCTTGTGAATCCTTACTCAGGCCAAAAAAAAAAAAAAAAAAAAAAAAAAAAATCACTTTGTGAGGCTCAGGTCTCAGTTTTAATATGCAGAGTCCTGAGCCACTGGTGGCAACGAGAGTGAGAGTTATGGGTCAAGTTCTTTTCTTGGTTGACCTGGTTTTATCCCACTGCCATCAGTGGGTTCCTCTCGATTTCCACTGAGATCGCTGGAGTGCAGCTGACGCAGCTGAGAACAATATGAGCCAGAAGAGAATAGTGGGAGGTCATTTCCCTCCCAGAGCCCCGCAGAACAGGGGCTGCTCCAAAGCTTGAACTGAAGTGTAAAGTTTACAAACAGCCTCATGAAGTCCCGAGCAGGAGAGTTTGTCCTAGAACAGCAAAAAAAAACTCCATTCCTCCTTTCTTCTATTTTTGAGAAGCACCAAAAATTCCCTTTTGCTTTAGCAAGTGCCTCCAGTTGTGTGCCAGACCCCCGTGGAGCCCAGTGAGAGCCCATTGTGCACTGCAGGGGTGGGTGGGGGCTGGAAGGTTTTGCATCTGTATGTGTGTCACTGTCCTGCCTGTGTCCCCATCCATCTGTCCCTCCAGCACTCCTGCTTGGGGAGAGCTCGTGTGCCTGGGCACGTCCCGTTTCTCTGCGGGGCTGCAAGTGCTCCTCTCTAAAGAGCAGGTTCCTGATGTGGGATTTAATTCTCCACTGTTAATCCTTCCTTCTTCATGCCCCAGATGCCTCCCACCCTCCAGGCTCTCCTGCCAAACAGGGAAAGCACTTCCAGCCCCCAGCTCCAGCCCTCGATCCCCCGTGGATGCTCCAGGGGGAGGCTGGATGCCCAGGCAGGGCTTGGCAGGCTCTAGGAAATGGGGAGGTGGGTGAAAATCTCACCTGCACAGCCAGCCTGGTGCTCAGCCTGGCATCTGGGATCTCCCAGCTCACGCTGGTGGTAAAACCAGTGGGAGACAAGGAGGTTTTGACGTTGTTGAATCCAAGAGGGAGGCTGGGCAGAAACATTTCTTTGCTGGCCTGGAGACAAGCATTAATGTTAGATGTCGTGGGAGTACAGTTCTGGTGTACAAGGGAGAAAGCTGTGGGGGAAAAATGTAAAACATCGGGCAAGGGAGGACTTTGAATTCAGGCAGGAGCCAAAATCCCCTGCTGCCTTTGTCAGGAGCTCATCACACTGACATTAACAGTGCCAACAGATCTGATCTTCCCCCACTCTGACCTGGCATAACTCCTCTGCTTCCAAGGGAGCTTTGCCAGGCCTTGTCCTGGGGGATTTCCCTCCCAGCATAATGAATATTAGCACAGAAGGCACAGAACCCTCCCTGAGAGCGGAGGATTAAATGCTCTTTTAATGGGCTGCGTGCAGTTCTTTAGCAGCTGACACGGGCACTTGCTTGAGCAAAGATTTTACTCAATAAATAGAACTGGAAAGGAAACTTTCTGCAGTTAAAATACTGGCAGAATTTAAAATGCTCAGTGCACTTAAGGAGTGGCTGCCTGTGGCTGATAAGGCTCCAGTGGGGTTCCTGGAAGGAGCGTGCTTGGTCCTGTGCTGTGTGGTGGTGTCCTGTGAGGAGTGCTGAAGGACGAGCCCATCCTCTTCCTCAACATCAAATTTGCTCTTGGAATCCCAGGGATTCATGCAAAGCTTTCCTGGGCAGTGAGGGATGCTTGTCCTTAAATGAGGGTAAATGGTAAAGTAGAGTGTCATGGTAAAAAGAGTGTCATGGTAAAAGAGAATGCTGGGGAGCAGCAGATGGGATCACAAGTCAGGGAGGTGAGCTGGGATACACCTAGGAGAGTGTGCCAGGTGCACTCCTGTTTTCCTGGGTTCTTGGAAAATGCCAGCCTTGAGCACTGGCAAAGCTGCTGGAGGGGATAGATCCTGCTCAGCAAATCCCTTCTGCTCATCAGCCCCTGCTCAGCCCCAAAAGGTGCAAAGGCACCGTGGCTCTGCCTGCATTCCCACTGGGATCACAGCAAGCAGGATCAGGGCCATGGGATGCTCCTGAAACACCCTCTGTGGGATGGGGATGGGTTTCCTCATGCCCTGCCATGGGTGTGACAGTGTCTCTCTGGTGGTGGCTCTGTGGCCACCACCCTGCAGGGATCTTTGGGAGTGTCCAGGGAACACCAGGTCCATCGTGGGTGAGGGTTGGGTCACTGCTCTCTGTCTGCCTGACAAGGGGAGTGTAACACTGGCCTTTTTCTGTCCTCACAGAAAGAAACCAAGATGCTCCTTATGCAAAAGATCCCTGCCCAGGACACCTGATGGAGCAGCGTGGATGAGGTGAGTTGTCTCCGCTGCAAGATGAGATCCTGTGTTTTCAGTATGGCCACACAGAGAAGCTCTGGCTTCCACACGCATTTTGCAATTATTAGACAATAATTCAGGCTCAGTTCATCTCCCCCGTACACCAGAAAAAAACCAATAATGCTCTCTGCATAACAAGATAATTAGTGTGCTTCCAAGGCTCTTGGGAGAAGTTGCCTGTGCTGATGAAATTAAGGGAGCTGAAATCATTCCCCAGAGGTAGGATGGCTCCGGAGGGTGAACAAACCCTTGTGAGATGCTTCACAACACAGAGCTGCGCTTCCAGCAGCACCAGCAAACCTTTCCCTGCTGCTGGGAGGGATTTCCATCTCCAGCAGCACTTCCAGAGAGGATTCCCCTCTGTTCCCTTCTCAGGGAGCATCCCACCAAAGCTCCTTTTCCACGGAGAGCCCCAAGCACCCATCAGCTTCCCGGAGGGTGCAGCACGGCCCGAGGCAGCTCCAGTCCCATCAGCAGCCCCAGCGTATCCCTGAGGAAACAGAGGGGATGGGCCAGTGATCTCAGTTGTTCTCTTGGAGCCATTATTGTTGAATCGGTAAATATTTCCTTTAAATGCAGGGCTTAATGGGAACAAATATTCCCAGGGGGCTGTATCCTGCCATTCATTTGCACATCAGATCCCTGCTATCTTTAAGAGTGGTTCTGTGCACGGGCAGGCGCCTAAGTCATTTCAGAAACAATAACCCTCTGTGCTCTAATTTTCCAGACAAAAATGTAGACAAAACAAGTGGCAATTTGGCACAAACCGAGCCGCTTTGATACATAACTGGGCATTTGAGAGGAGAAGCCTGGAGGCAGCTGGGCTCGGGCTGCCCGAGCTGTCCGGGGCAGGTGTTGGGCAGCCGGGGCTGAGCCCTGCGTGTCACCCCGAGGGTCCCTCTGCAGCTGGGGCGCTTCCAAGGAATTCTCTAAGCATCCTTGGAAACACCACCGGCTCCTGCAGGACTTTGGAAGGAGCTCAGGGGGATTAACGGGCACGGCGGGAGGGTCTGGAGCAGGTCTCTAACCCGGGGAGGGATGAGTTTCCTCCTCAAATCCTCAAATCCTCTGTGCTCAGGGTGGGGAGTGCGGACCAGGACAGAGATTTTTAGTAAAGACAATTCAATTTGCCCCGTCCTGTGATGGACCATCCCCCCGGGGGGGTCCGCACAGCCCTGGGCGAGGGTCGGGGCTGAGCCGCGATGTCTCTCGCTGTTAATCCCAGCCGGGCTGACCCTTGGGGGGCCCCGCAGCGTGGGGCTCGTGGGGCTCGTGGGGTTCGTGGGGCTCGTGGGGTTTGTGGGGTTCGTGGGGTTCGTGGGGTTTGTGGGGTTTGTGGGGCTCGTGGGGTTCGTGGGGCTCGTGGGGCTCGTGGGGCTCGTGGGGTTGTGGGGCTCGTGGGGCTCGTGGGGCTCGTGGGGTTCGTGGGGTTCGTGGGGTTCGTGGGGTTCGTGGGGTTCGTGGGGTTTGTGGGGCTCGTGGGGCTCGTGGGGTTTGTGGGGCCGGGGGCTGCTCCTGCCCCGGGTCACAGGTAAGGCTCCACACCCACCCGGGGCAGGAGCGCCCCGCAACCCCGTCCCCATCAGCGACAGCACCTGCGACACTCCAGCAGCCTCCGCTCACCCGGGGCGCCTCGGGGCTCCCGCCCCGTCCCCGCCGGTGCTGCCCGGTCCCCGCACGGCTCCCGGGGAGCCGTGCGGGGACCGGGCAGCACCGGCGGGGACCGGCGGGGCGGGGGCAAGCGGAGATCCCCGGTGGTTCCCCCCGTTCGGGAGGCTCCGCTTTCCTCCCCGCCGGGAGCTCATTGGGCCGGGGCGGAGGGACCGGCCGAGGCCGGGGGAGGGAATGCGCGGGGGGCCGCGGCGCGGCGGCGACTCCGCGGCTCCGCCACCGGCACCGGTGAGTCCCGGCGGGCGCCGCCCGGGGCTCGGCACGGCCGGGGCGGGGGGACCGGCAGCATCCCCGGCGGGGCGGGCGGGGAACGGGGGTGCCGGCGGAGCGGGGCTCGGTACCGCAGCGCGGGGGGCTGGGAGGGCTCAGGGCTCGGGCTGCGGCGGCCGCGGGAGCATCGCCGGGACACCCGCGTCCCCTCCTCCCCACGGGTGTCCCTATGGCCCCCCGGGGGCACCCGTGTCCCTACAGCCCCGGGACACCCGTGTCCCCGCCTCCCCACGGGTGTCCCTACAGCCCCCGGGGACATCCGTGTCCCTACAGCCCCCCGGGACACCCACATCCCCACAGCCTCCCGGGACACCCGTGTTCCTACACCCCCTCGGGACACCCGTGTCCCTACAGCCCCGGGACACCCGCGTCCCCTCCTCCCCACGGGTGTCCCTATGGCCCCCCGAGGGCACCCGTGTCCCTACAGCCCCGGGACACCCGTGTCCCCGCCTCCCCACGGGTGTCCCTACGGTCCCCCGGGACACCCACGTCCCTACACCCCCTGGGGCACCCGTGTCCCTACAACCCCCGGGGACATCCGTGTCCCCGCCTCCCCACGGGTGTCCCTACGGCCCCCGGGGACATCCGTGTTCCTACGGCCCCCCGGGACACCCGTGTCCCTGCAGCCCCCCGGGGACATCCGTGTCCCTACGGCCCCCCCGGGGCACCCGTGTCCCCGCCTCCCCACGGGTGTCCCTACGGCCCCCGGGGACATCCGTGTTCCTATGGCCTCCCGGGACATCCGTGTCCCTACTGCCCTCGGGGACACCCGTGTCCCTACGGCCCCCCGGGACACCCGTGTCCCTAAAGCCCCGGGGGACATCCGTGTCCCTACAACCTCCCGGGGACATCCGTGTCCCTGCAGCCCCCCGGGACATCTGTGTCCCTACAGCCCCCCGGGACACCTGTGTCCCCTCCTCCCCCCGGGACACCCGTGTCCCTACACCCCCCAGGACACCCGTGTCCCTACGGCCTCCCGAGACACCCACATCCGCTCCCTGCATGGTGTCGCTGACCCCTAAGACATAATTTCACTTGTCAGACCATGGGGCTTCACCTCTTCATCTAAGAGGCTTAAAAGGCCTTTTAAAATATTTTCTTGAGCATAATTCTTTTCTTCTCTAAGTTCTATGCTTTAAAAAAGCACGGGATAGACGGTGGCAACAGGTTGGACGATCTTCAGCAGCTTTTAAGAGGTTGATTTTTGTAAACCCATAAAAAAGACAAGTCTAAACTATCGTATTTTCTACTTTTATAGCTTTTTCTGTTATGAAGCAACCATAATTTTATAGCCCAGAGGGCTCCTCGAGGTAGGGAAGTGCTGCTCCAGTTCAAAGTGAAAAAACAAACTGTATTTTAGGCTCGTGCCCTGTGTTTCTTGCCTTCCCCACAAGGAAAGCTCCCATGGCAGCCACGGGAATCCTGTGGGAGGATGGAGATGGTTGGCAGGGTTTGACTTCCAGACTTGAGGAGCAGCTCTGAGAACCTGGATCTGGGATTGTTGGGAAGTTTTGTGTCCCAGTATAGCCCTGGGAAAAGCTGGCTGACAGAGCAAAGGGGACTTGGTGTGTGTCTGTGCAGTGTCCTTGGAATGTCTCCAGGAGGACTGGGGAGAGGGAAAACTCCTTCAATATTTTTAAAAATCCTACAGGACAAGCAAGATTTGCTTTCCTGATGGTGGAGGTGCCATACATTCATTAGGAAAATAATCTAATTGCTGTGTTTGAAGAAGAATGGAGGACTACAGGCTTTAAAGCACCAAAATCCTCCTTCCATCCTCAGGGCTGGGCTTGCATGGAAATCTGCTGGGATATTTGATATTTGACATTGGATATTAAGGGGCAGGAAGGCACCAGGCTGGTCTCTCTCCAGATGTGAATCTCCATTTCTCCCTGCCTCAGATTCTTCTCCTGCACCAAGGAAAGGACGATCCTGAGTGCCTTGGAGAAGGGCTTGGAGACCTGCAGGGTCTGCAGATTTGCCGTGGTTATTTGTAACAACCTGTCTCAGAGTTGGGATTTCCCAATGGAATTTGGAGATCAAACTGCAATTTTCCAGTCCAATCCTGCCCTACAGCATGTGGGGATTTTAGAAAGTTGATTTGCAGATCACTGTATCTGCATTCTTAGAAGGTTTCTTGTGTAGCCTCCCCCTTCAGAAAGTTTAATCAGAAGGTTCTTTCTTTAATTGATGCATATTTTAGATGGGTTTCTTTATTTTTCCCTCCTTCAGCTGCTGCCATCCGGAGGCCAAGTGGTTTGTTTAAATGAGATATTGTTTCAATTGGATATTGTTACTGACCCTCTTCAGCCTTGTTTCGTATTTGTCCTCTGCGAGACAATCAAAACCTCTCGGTTTGTGCCTCAGAGCCGACTCTGCAGATGGTACATATGGCCCTTACAGCACTTTTCTCTGTCACGAATTTGTGTTTTAAAGAGAAGAAGATCAGATTTCAGTGTTTAATGTGGTGGGAAAACACAGCTTTACAATGCTGTGTGCATTAAGAAATGACAGGCCATTGTTTTGCCCTCGCTGCCTGGAACTGGCAGAGAGTTGGAGGCAAAACACGTCCCTTCCCTGCCCCCAACACACAACTACACAGCTCCTGCCGCCCTGAGAGCATCTCCGGGCATCCCCCGGGGTAAATCAAGGATAATTCCTGAATTAAACATTGTGCCACACTGGTGAGGCCAGCGGGGCAAGGTGGGTTTGTGCCTGGAGCCGCTCCCACCTTGCCAGGGGTTCATCCCCATGGCTTTGTTGGGTGTCACCAGCTGGGCAGGGACACCTCAGAGAACCACAGAATGACCTAGGCTGGAAAAGACCTTTGAGATCAATCCTTTGATAAGGATAACACCTCCTTATCAACTAAACCATGGCACTGAGTGCCACATCCAGTCCAGTCTTTTTTTAAACACAGGGACGGTGACTCTGCTGCCTCCCTGGGCAGACCATTCCAGCGCCCAATCACTCTCTCAGTGAATAATTTTCTCCTGAAATGTCCTCCCTCCCTCACAGTGCTGCTCTCCTGCTTGCAGGGATCCCCACTGAAGGACGAGCCATGCAGTAGGAGCCAGCACATCCCACGGAAGAGCAGGACACGGGACATGTGGAGCCTCAGCTGCCTCCTCTGGGGACTCCTCCTCATCCTCAGCACCGCCAGCATGGAGGGCTTTGCCCAGGCAGGGTAAGGCTCTGTTTTCTCTGCACCTCTCAGGTGTGTTCTCCACCCAGCAGGGTGAGGCATGTCCTCTCGTGGGGGGAGCAGCCCTGTGTGGCTCTCTGGGCTGCTGAGGAGGTGGAAAAGCTCTCCCAGGGCCCAGCAGCCTGTTGCTGGTTGTTTGCTTTCTCACTGAAGCTAAAACATCTCTCAGAGGAAATGTCCCAGCTCTGTTTAACCCCATGCGGGGACACCAAGACTCTCTGGGCATTTTGTCCAGGAGAGTCAAAGCTCATCAACTCCTGAGCTGTTCAGGAATTATTACAGCCTCTTTCAAGCACATCCTTCATGAAAATAATGTGTGAAATCCTGCTAGCACACAAATGAAGCCTTGTGAACACGCTGTCACTGAAGGATGCCACTCCCATCAGAGGAGGACACAGCTGCCAGCTCTGATGGACACCCAGGGACCCTGGTGTGGAAAGCTGGGCTGTGCTTTGTGCCCCCCAGGATGCTGCTGGGGCTGTGGCTGCTCCAGCAATTCCCCTTCCCTTTCTGGGAAATGGGTCTGGGAGAATTCCCTGGATCCCAGCATAGCCTGGGCAGGCACAGCTCAGCTCCTGCTGGGGCTGAGGAAGCCCAGAGCTCAGTGCCCCAGTTTCTTCCCCAGCTGAGAGGAGCTGCAGCTCAAAACCCTCCCCCAGACACAGCTCACATTTTCTACAAAGTTTGTTTTTACACCAAAACGCTCCTCCAGTATCAAACCTTTCACATTCTGTCCAGGACTGAAACCACAGCTGAATTCCTCACTCACACGCACAGGCTGCAGCTAAAACTTTGTTCTGGATTTCACAGAGCAAACAATTGCCATTTAAAAACTGCATCTTCTATAACATTAATCATGAGGCTGAGAGGAGTTTTCTGGAGTTAATGGAAACCATCTGATGTCCATGCTAATTCCCAGACTTTTTATTTTAGCTTCTAATTGAACTGGGAGGCTGAGACAAGTAGATGGGTCCCTCAGTGGGACTGACCTGTTTGGGCTGGAAATGGTTGAAAAAAAGGATGTTTAAGCAAGACCACTTTGGCTGTTAACCTTGGGAAAGTTTTTTACTGGATAGCATTTATCTTAGGAAGGCTGAGGAGTGCTTTTTATCCAACCTCTAATTTTTTTTTGCGGTGAGCCTGACCCTTCCTGTGAAATCATTAATTTCTTGGTAACCACAGGGGCATCCGTTTCAGGAATGTAAAATTCTCAGAAAGGAAAAATCCACCCAGAAAGTGAGTGATTTCAGGGGAAGGAAGACAATGAATGCAATGAGTAAATCATCCCTAAATCTGGGTCCCATGGGACGGGGGAGGAAGCGCCCGCTCCAGAGCTGTGTCACTGACCCCAAACAGCTCCAAGTGGTTTCTGATGTCACTGGGGCAAGCAGGCACTGCTGTCCCCTAGCCCAGTGCAGGGAGGGGAGCTGGGGCCGTGTCCTGGCTGGGGACTGACCGAGCCCTGTGTCCCCAGGCGCAGGGTGTGCTCAGCCACGGGGCCACCACGCCACCACAGCGCCCACGCCGAGTCCCACCTGCAGCCCGTGTACCAACCCTACCTCACCACCTGCCAGGGCCACCGCCTCTGCAGCACCTACAGGTGAGCCATGGGCAGCCCAGATCCTGCTCCACCCCAGGCATGGGGATCCCAGCTCCTGGCAGCGCCCCGAGCTGCTGTGGGAGCAGGATGCAGCTTTGGGGCACACAGCTCAGCCCAGCCTTGCCTTGCAGGACCATCTACAGGGTTGTCTACAGGCAGAGCTCCAGGCAGCTGGCCCAGCCCGTGGCCTCGTGCTGTCCTGGCTGGAGCAGAGCAAACGGCCACACGCTGGGCTGTAACAGAGGTAAGGAGCTGCTGGGTCACCACTGCCCCGTCCCCACACCCCCTCGTGTCCCTGGAGGGGCTCCAGGACCACTGCTCTCATGCTCTCTGCCTGTCAGGTGCATCCTCCCTGAATTGAATTTTCAGCATCACAGCCAAATGCGGTTCAATATCTGATTAATTCCCAGCTTTTCTCTGCTGCCTCTTGGGCCTTATTCCTTTGGGATCACTTATCACCTTTTTAGTTAGCAGAGGATAAATAAAACAAGTCCTTCCCATCTAAATCAGCAGAAATGGATGAGAAACCCTTTCAGGAGGCAACAAATACAAACCACAGCAGCAGCCAGTCTGCCCCCAGTGAGCTCAGAGTGTGGCACAGGGGGCTGCTGCTCTTGTTGCCCTCCTCCTTCCCATCTTTGCAGCTTGCAGACCCCTCAGCTCCTTTCCAGCTCCTCTTCCTTCCACCCACCCTAAGTCCTGTTCCCTCTGGGCAGCTCAGCCCTGCTGTGTGGTGCTGGTGTGTTTTGGGGTGTGCACACATGCAGGGTGGGAGGGAGGGAGCCCCAGAGCTGCTGGGTGATGCTGTGCTGGTGTTCCTCTCACAGCTCTGTGCTGGGAGCCGTGCCAGAACGGCGGGAGCTGCGCCTTCCCCGGGAGATGCTCCTGCCCCCCCGGCTGGACGGGGCACACCTGCCAGACAGGTACTGGCCTTGTCCCCTCTGTCCCTGCTCCCTGTGTCATACCTGCCCTGGACAGCTTCTCCTGGGAGCATGCCAGCTGCCGTGGGGCTCTGGGCATCCTTTGCCCTATGCCAACCCCTCAGGGGGGACAGGGACCTTGTCAGACCTTAGCCCTTATCAGACCTTGGGCCTCTGCACACACATGAACAACGCCTGCTCCAGGAAATGATGGGAAGTGTGGCTCCCAGGGGAGGTCTGACCTCCCTTTGGCTGCCTCAGTGCTCCCTCCTGTGCAGCCCTGTTTTCTCTGCCTGCTGCTCCGTGCTGGCTCAGTGGGAGCAGAGCTGTGAGCCTCCCTGCAGCACAGAGCCCTTGTGGGGCCAGCCTGGGATCCTGTGTTTGTGATCATCCCTCCCAGCCTTTGTAAACTCTCGCTGTAAACTAAAATGCCCTTTTACTGCAGAGACTAAAAATCCATAAACCAAAAATATCTGGGGGTGGAGGAGAAGCCTGGTGATGTCCAGGCTCCTCTGCAGCACAGGAAGAGCCCAGTGCTCCTCACAGCGTGGAGAAATCAGGCAGTGTGGTGCACACCAGTGCTGCAAACCCCTACCACGGCATTTCCCAGTTTTTCCCAACTTTCCAGCCTCCTGTAAGGCAGAGGAGGAGTGTGTGGCATTGACCCATGCTGGGCCAGGCAGGGCTGAGCCCGTTGCTGACAGCTCCAGCTCCAGGGGAAAGGATTTTCCCACTGCCTAAAACAGATTTGCCCGGGCGTGGGAAGAGCTTCAGCTTTGTGGGAACAGCTTTAATAACTCCCCCGTGTGAGGAGAGGTTACTGGGTTTTGTACACACTTGAAAGGCTGATAGCTCCTCGCCACAGCTGGCTGGAACCAAAACCCCGGCCGTAAATCCGGGATGAGAGCTGAGCACTGCCTGGCCAGACTGGGACATTTCTGACCACAGCTTCTCCTTCTGGCTGTGGTGTGAGGGCAGCAGGAGGAGGGGAGGAGGCCAGACCCCCTCCAGCTTAGCCCAGGCACGCAGAGCTGTGCCCGGCCCAAAAACCAGCTCACTGTGGGGCACTCACTGGGGTTCCACTGCAGCCCCCCTGTGCCTAAGCCACCTGTGCCCCTCACCCTGTCCCCTCCTCATTAGCTGTTCCTGTGTTGCAGACGTGGATGAATGTGCCAGCCAGAGGCACGGCTGCAGCCAGCTCTGCATCAACACGGCCGGGAGCTTCCACTGCGCCTGCCGGGATGGCTTCAGCCTTGCTGCCGATGACAAGGGCTGCCAGCCCCTGCTGCCAGCGCCAGACAGCTCCAGCCAAGCAGGTATCCTGTCCCCACACTCAGCCCAGCTGTGGGGGTCTGCAGGGAGAGCTGAGGGAACACTCAGCATCGCAGGAGTGGCAGGAGATGGGACAACAACCAGAACCCCTCAGCTTTATTCTGGCTGACCCAGCAGTGCTTCTCCCACTCAACTTCCCCTGAGCACAAATCCATCTGTGAGGGTGACAGAGCTGTTCCTGGTGGTGTCTGGGATGTGTCTGTTCTCTCCCTCATCATCCTCGTTCCTGCAGGGCGGATCTGGAGCCACGAGGAGCGGCGGGCGCCGCTGGTGACGGCCCATTATTACTTTTGGTACGCGCTGTGACACTTCAAACTCGTACCGTGAGTAATAATGCGCTGTGGCCAGCACGGGCATCACGCAGCAAACATCTGGGACAGCCTGCACGTACCCCACCTGCATCCACCCCTGTGCAGGGCCCTCAGCAGGGACAATCCCCTGTGCCCACCACAGCACAGGGCAGAGCTGGGTGTTTTTTGGCAACACGGGCACCAAAGGCCAGGATCCACCAGATCTTTTGTCCTTTAAGCATCACTGCTTGAAACCCTCCCCACTTTGTTGCAGGTGCTGCAGCAGCAGGAGCAGCTGGACTAGATGCCAGCAGGTCCAGCTGATGCTCTGGGGGAGCAGAGCTTGGCCAGAGCCCTGCAGCCATGTCTTTCTCCCCAGCAGCTTCCACCTCACCTCGGCAGTGGGCTTTTACTCACTGACATTTATTCCCTCGGTCACTTTTCCAGGTGCCTCCAGTGAAATGAAGGAAGAAATGAAGGACCTGAGGAGCAGAGTGGAAGCGCTGGAGCAGGTGAGTTGCAGCACATGCCCCTGCCCTGTTCCTGCTCAGCCAGCTCCCACCCGGGGCTGTTTGCAGCCAGGGTTTCCCTCCTCCCCAGCTCTATTTTTAACATCCCAGCAACAATCCCAGCTGTGCTGCCCACAGCACCCACACCACGGCTTTTCCAGCCCTTTGAGCACACCCACAGCCCCTTGAGCCCTCCCTGGTGGTCCTGCTGGCCTGGGGGAATGCTCTCATTGCTCCCCTTCTCCCTGCAGAAGCTCCAGCTGGTGCTGGCCCCCTTCTACAACCTGATGCCGCCAGAGGATGTTGGTGCAGACCCCATCAGCCGCCTGTCCCACTCCCTGCAGCAGCTGGACAGGATTGACTCCCTGAGCGAGCAGATCTCTTTCCTGGAGGAGCGGCTGGAGACGTGTAAGTGCCTGGAAAAAGCAGCGGGGAAGGATCTCCCTCCAGCCATCCTGGCCACGGGGAGCAGACGCAGGCCAGCAAGATCAGTAACACATATGCCACTGCTAATCTGGATCTGCCTCAAGCTCAGCAGCCTGTAATTAATAAAGGATGAACACAAACAGCCCATTAGCTTTGTTTCAAAGCTGTTTCCACGGCTGCACCATCTGACTGCCCTTGTAGCAGCCAAAAATTGTAGGATTGACACATGGAAACGTGGCTGTGGGGCAGAGCTGAGGAGGCACTGGGAGCAGTGGGGCACCTGTGGCAGCTGCTGTCCCTTCCTGATAACTCTGTCCTTAGGAAAGAACCCCCAGCTCTTAGCAAATTAACAGCCCAAAAAGTCAATCAGGGAAGTTTAGGGAGCGTGCAGAAGTTGGCAGATTTATGACCTTGGGAAGTTTCAGGCATTTCTTTTAGAAGTTTACAGGCCAGTAAGGGCACCAGAGAGGGTCTCTGAAGAAGTAAACTGAGGAAGGGACCCAGTGAGAGCTGTCATGTGTGAAATGGCTGGAGGTGGGGGGTTCAGCATCCCCTTGGGTCCCTGTGCTGCTCACCTGGGCTCCAAGCAGAACACATCCAGCTGAATTCTTTTATTTTGATAGGCAGCTCTCTGTAGCTCATTTTCCCATTAAAGAATTCCAGAAACTAGGCACAACTGGGGTGTGCAACAGCAGCTTGCCAAGTCTTGGAAAGACTCAGGAGAAACTGGTTCAGGGCATATTCAGTCCCAGTTCAGCGCTTGCAGTAATGGCTGAGAGGGAAAAAGAATTCAAAGAACTTGGCTGAAAACAAAGTAGCTGCAAATAGACACTTAAAAACCATCTCAGAAAGGGGTAATTACCAGAACCACTGAGGGTTCCAGCAGGCTGGGTTTTCTAGTAGTGCCCTGCACATATTATTAGTGACAGCACAGAGGAATGTGAACAGTATCACAAGGTAACATGGATTCATTCCAAAGGATGACTCCAAAGTCCTGAAATTAATTTCTGCCAAGTCTGTCTCAGCAAGCAAAACCTGTTTTTGTTTCTTTTCATGGTCCCTGTAGGACACAAAGCTGTCCTTTCATACCCCAGCAAGCTCTGAGGCTCACAGGGCATCCCATGGAGTCCTCAGCCATCCCTGTTCCGTGCCTGGTGGAGCATTTCCCAGCTGAATGCTATCCTACAACTGATAACTCAGTGGGGGATGTGTGCAATGACCAAAAAAATTATTTTCTCTTCTTAAAACCACCAGCAGAGGCACCAGGTCAGAGCTCTGTAATGATTTTGGCCCCTGATCCAGCACAGGTGTTACTGTCACTGGATTTGGGGACATCGTGCACAGGGCCCAGGCAAGGACTGTGACATGCCAGGGAGGTGACAGTGACACTCCCGAGTGTGGGGGGCATGATGCCAGCCTGTGGTTGTTTGCCAAAAGGAAAGCAGCAAGTGTGGGTGACGTTCCCAGAGGTTCAGATCAGTCTCATTCTGCCTGGAAAAGTCACAAACCAAAACCAGGCTAATGACTGGATTTATCTGGCTGAATTTATGGTTTTTTTCTCTAATCTTTCCAGGTTCTTGCAAGAATGAACTCTAGCAGAGTGCCTGGGGACCTGGAACAAGCAGAGTGCATCCACAGCTCTTATCTCCCTGTCCAGCCCCAGCCTGGGGATGAAGCCACACCATCACAGGAAGGCACAGGGTGGCAGGAGAAGGCTCTTCCAGCTCACCTCACCACAGGCCATGCAGTTCCTTCCAAACTGGACTCTGAGCCCTCTCCCTCCTGGAGAGGCAGCAAATAAATGCCTTACCTCGTGCCATGAGTGCCTGCTGTGCCAGACTGGCTGTGTGTGACCTGGGGGGTCTCAGCTTCCCTTGGCTTTCCCTCAGCATTATCCTGGGATAACAGCTCCCAGCGTTCTCCTGGGATAGCAGCTCCCAGCGTTCTCCTGGGATAACAGCTCCCAGCGTTCTCCTGGGATAGCAGCTCCCAGGGAGCAGTGGGCACAGGGCTGCCTGTGGAGCACAGACCTGGCCCAGGCAAGGGAGCTGCCTCCCCACACTCCCTGTGCTTACTGTCACAGGGACAAGGTGGGGACAAGTCCCTGCAGCCCCAAGCCAGGTGTCACAGCAGGGGACAGGTGCCCCTGGTACCTGCAGAGCCAGGTACAGGAGTGGGTGCCCATCCCTGCAGCTCCTGTTCTGCTCTCCAGGAGTTGGGGTGGTGCCTCAGCAGTGAGGCTGGGTGAAGCACAGCCCTCCTGCCTGGGGGGCACAGGGTGGGGACAAGGACCTCTCCTGCCCCTCCATCACCAAACTCACCCCCTGCAAGAGCTCAGGGCTCAGCACCCCACATCCTCCTCCCTCAGCCCCCATACAACACAAGGAGGCTCCTTTATTTAAATAACCAAAGGTGTAATTTTTTTGTTGTTGTTGATTTTTTTGTAAAGCACATAACATTCTCAGCCCAATTAAAAGTGAACAGCAGACAACTGCACACAGAGGCACTGCTCCCTCCTCCCAGGAGGAGTCAGACGTGGTTTCCCTCCCCAGGAGGGCCCTCCTGGGTTGGCCCTCCATGACAGCATTTATCTGCCACTCTCACAAAGTGCTGGTTTGGTTCCCATCCTCCCACCCCGACCCCCATCCCCTGAGTCTGTACTGTAAGGCCCCTCCAATGAAGCACCTGGCAGCACCAGCTCAGCCCAAGGGCTCCTTCCATGGAGCTTTTCCCAGCTGAGCTTTAGCCCCAAAATGCCAGATAAACACAACTCCACCAATGCAGGCTGCAGGAGCTGGGTGTGCTGCTCACCTGAGTAGCCCCAGCTGGCTTATCCCCAGGTCCCCTGTGCCATGAACAGCAGAGCTAAAGCTACAGGAACCATGGACCTGACCCAGCCTCCAAGGGCATCAACATTTCACAGCTCCCGGTGAGGGATCCGGGAGCTCTGTTGGTCCGTCACACCAAGGCACAGGGGAACCCCTTTTATCTGACTGGGAAAAGGGTTTATGTCCCCCAAAGGGGGAGCTGAAGCCTTCCAAGCCTTCCCAGCCCCGTTGCAGCCGCAGCTCACCCACCCTGTGGCTCTGCAGGGCTTTTCCAGGCCGCGGAGAGCAGCAGCTCCGCCCCGCAGATCAGCAGAGACGCGGGACAGGCACCATCTTTCGGCCAGCGCTGACCATGACAAGTGACAAAACGAGCGCGACAGAGCCCTTTGTCTCCATGAGGGGCATTGCAGGCACCGGGATGTCACCGGGATGAGCCACCACCACGGCGGGGAGCTGGCAGCAGTTTCCCAACGTGATGCTGTTGTGACACAAGGGCGTCTCAAGGGGACAGGCCTGTGTGTCCCACTGGTGGGTGGGAGTGCTCTGGGCTGTCCAGGGAGGACACCACACTCCCAGCACTGCTGAAAAGCCAAAATCTGGATTTTCACCCAGTTCTCAGCCCTGTTTGAGCATCAAGGTTGTGCTGATACAAACTGCTGCCTGGTGGTTTCCACCTGGGACATCACAGGGCCACCTCACAAGCTGAGCCTGCAGGAACACAGGTGCAGGGAAAGTCACACGAGGCAGAGCTCAGGCTCCAGGCAGGTTTTTGCTGTCACCCCGAGCTACCTGCAAGAGCTGGGGGAACTCTAGTCATTTAGCCCTTTGGTAGCACAAGTTTGATGCCTGAGAAATTCAGAAAAAGGAGATATTTCAAAGTGAGAAAATGAACCCATAATAGAAATCCACTCAGAGAGGAACCGTAGTGCTGGCTTGACACCCTGTGTGTGCCAGTCTGTGGTGCTCCCAAGAGTTAGAAATCACTGCAGAGGAGAAGAAGATCCTTCAGTATTTGGCAAGAACAGACAGGTCCCTTCAGCCACCACCACACGGTGACACCACTGGAGATGCCTCTAGGATGAGTCCTTTGCCTCGCCTGGATGGCCTGACAGCCTGAAGAGGGTCTCCCTCATGGTGCTGAAGCATCTGTCAGAGAGGTCGGTGACATCGTCTGACGTCAGCCCTTTGGTCTCTATTGGAGGCAGAACCTCAACCTTGATTTTGCCTGGGGACAAGAGAGGAGCCTGTGAGAAACCCACACAGCACAGAAGCTCTGCTCCTTACCCTGAACAGCCCCAGCACAGCCCTCAACCCCTCCCAGGGCTTCAGGTATCCACCCCTGGAGCACAGGCAGAGTCAGATCCCAGCTCCAACAGCTGTGCCACCCAGAATAATCCCCCTGTGCCCCAGACTGCCATCCCAGCCAGAGCCTGCCCAGAGCAGGAGGTGGTAACCAATTGTTAATGAAAACATCCCTCAATGTATTTAATTACAGCCCTTCCTGAGCTAACCCAGCCCAGGCTCTGGTGCCAAGTGCTTTGAACTGCCTCCAAACATCTCCCAGCAGGGCTCCTCCTGTTCACCCCAGCTCTGCTTCCCTCCCACACCCTTCTGAGCCAGATCTCCACACAGGACAACAGCAACCCTGTCTCCAAGTGACTCTTTGTTACCTGATGTAAACAGCTTTGTCTTTGGGTTATAGAAGGTGGTGAAGGAGGAATACACCACAGGGATCACTGGGACCTTGGGAAGGGAAGGAAAAGAGGAGTTACTGGCACTTCAGCAGCTCAGGGCAGGCCAGAGACAGGCAGCAAATCCCACATGGCAAAGCTGACCTGGCCTGGCTCTCAGACACACAGGGCACACACAGCTCCACAAACAACACCCAAAGGCTGGAACAATCAGCAGTCAAATGGAATCAAAAGCACTCCCCAAAAATTCAAGGCACAGGGATATTCAAGAAACCAGGGCCAAGTACCAGTCCAGCCTCTGCTCAGCACTGGCTTTTAGGGCTCCTTGACCCAAGTGAGGCTTCAAAGCCCAGGTATTTTCTGTCCTGCAAGCAAACACTGCAGGCTAGCTGTTCTGACAGGCCTTGTCTGCTGTACAGGCACGTGTCTGGGGCAGGGTGGCTGCTCTGCTTTCGGTTTCTAAGAAAGGGAGTCACCAGTTGTTACCAATTGCTCCAGGGGAAGCTTCAGACAGACACAGGGCCAGGAGGGCAGGCAGAGCTGTTGTTCCAGTGCTGGTATCACAGCCAGGATCTACTGTCGGTGACTCAGGGGGGTGTAGCAGAGGCGGGGACCAGTTCTGTGTCATCCTTTCCTCCCAGCAGCTGCCAGGCTCTGCTTTGGCTGCATCACCCAGGCAAGAATGAGGATGGTATCGCACAGGCTACACCCTGGGCTTGGCCAAATGAACCCAGTGAGAGAGCTGGCATCTCTTCTCTTTCCCAAAATCCCTGCTCTACCACCTCTCCTGGGGAAACGAGTTTTCCCCGAGGCTTCGAGTCATCCCAGACTCTGGCACACTGCCCCAGCACTGTGCCCAGGCAAACACCCTGCTCCTGAGACAGCTCTGGCTGGCTGAAGCTGTTTGCCTGCTCCCCCACTAACTGCTCATGGATGCTGTCATTTTGGAGAGAAAAAACGTATCAAGAACTGCCATATGGCTGCCAGGGAGGCAGCAGCTATTTTCACACAGAGCAAGCCCAGATGTTGCTCTAAAGCACGAGAATTAACAATCCTGAATCATCTCTACACTATTGCAACCTGGCGGATTGAGAACTGAATGGACAGCTTTGGGCTTCCCCAGGAAAGAGCCCACTGAGCTCCCTGCCAGGAGCGAGCTCTGGGCTGCAGCCGTGCCCCCAGGAACCCCTGGGCACAGGCACTGCCCTGCCATGCTGCCAGGAAAGCCTGGAGATAGGGATCAAGTGTCCCTCACACTCCTCCCTCCAGAGGGGACACCAGGACTGAGGCAGGCAGGAGAGAGGACAGGGTGATTCTCCACTGACTACAGCCACTCATGCCCAGGGTCAGCTCATTCCCAGAGGGGATGGAAAAGGCTCCTGGCTGCTGCAGGGCAGCACTTCTGACACCAGAGGTTTACCTGAGCAGGGTTTACCTGGGAACACAGCTCACCTGAGAGCAAACGAACCACACACCGCAGGATCAGTGTGCAGTGCCACTGCAGAAGCACTCGGGGATCCCATGCAAGGGCAAAGCACTGTTACCTGTGCCTGGACAGCGAGGTGAAATGCTCCTTTCTTGAATGGCAGCAAATCCCCAGTGCAGTTCCTTGTGCCCTCTGGATATACCCACACCTTTGTCTGCACATGGAGAGACAGAAATTCACTTGCAGTGGTGGGAGACACCAGGCAGCTCTGCCAAGCTGAGCCAGCACCAGGAGTGCCACGATGCCCCGATGCCACCCCACCCAGCTCCACAGTGACACTCACATTCTCAGTCACCATAGTCTTGGCCACCTCTGACATCACCATCTTGGCACTGCTGGTGCTCTTCCTGTTGATGAAGATGACGCCACCAAGGTACATGATGAGCCCCACGCTGCCCATGTACATCAGCTCCTTCTTGCCCACCTGGACACAGTTGTCGGGCAGGACCTCCATCAGCCCTAATGGGATGGCAGAGGGCGAGACCCAGTAGTCACCCCTGGGACAAGGACAGGACAAGGGCACCAGGGACAGGCTGCCTGGCTTCTGAGAGCAGGAGGCTTGGCACACAGCAGAGTTAGTAGGGCAGGGTGGCTGCAGCTGACAGCAGGACACCCCCAGAAGCAGCTGATTCCCCACCCCCAAGGAGTCCAGCAGGGCTATTGGCACGTGTGCTGGGCCAGCACCTCAAGGACAGCAGAACCTGGGGTGCTGCACAGGTGTGGGATTGCTCAGAGTGACAGGAGACCCTTCCCACAACCAGCACTGGGGCTGCTTGTCCAGGAGGTACAAGCAGGACTTCTCCCAGTGGTGAGC